GAAGAAATAACAAATTAGCTAAAATTAGAGGTAGTTGGGGGCGAGACATCTATCTTTCTTCGGGTAGATGGGGGATATCAATATCAGTAGAACGGAGGCTAATTGCAAAGACCTGCCGGAATATTATTATTATTATTATTATTATTATTATTATTATTATTATTATTATTAAATTACCTCACTTTCCAAGCTCTGTGTCTTTCTCTGGGGTAAATCACTGCATGCATAACCTTCAAAGCATGGCTCATATCCTGGGCTGCTAAATTTCAGAGCCTGCGGTCCCCAAGGGGAATTGCAAGGAAACACCGTGAGACCCCGGTGTGTAAACAGCACCAAGCAAGCCCAAAGGGCTGGAAAGTTTTTGGAGTTACTACATCCCTGGGGGAAACCGTTTGGTTCCAAAAAGTGGTCCCTGAGATACCAAAGCAGCCATGAAGGATAAACAACGGTGGCAAAAAACAAAACAAAAGAAAAACCCGACACAAGAAAATAGAAAATTGCAACAGGAGAAACACGTATCATATTGAGAGGCACTCCTAAAGTATTCTGACAACCCGCTTTACCCAGCAAGAGGCAGCCTCCAAATGTGCTTGACTACAACTCCCATTTATCCCCAGTTAGCATCCCAAAATACTGCTATTCCCAGCCTTTCCCAGCCTCCATATATGCCTGGTTACAACTCCCATTATCCACAGTCAGTGACCTAAAGTACTCTAACTTCCAGCCAACTCTACAACTACAACCCTGCAGATCAGTATTTAATTCCCCGCTCGGCCACGGAAAGCCACGGAGTGACCTTGGACTAGTCATAGGATTTTTTATCACACGGGGGGAAATCTGGGGTTTAAAGAGCCATTATCCTGTGCAAATTGCGCAGTCCAGGCACTAACCAGAAGCAAAATGTTCATGGGGAATTTTTTTACCCACGGCATATCAATAGCCCTGGGTTGTGGCCATCACCTGGGCTTGGGGATAAGTTACCCTGCCACGACTTACACGGCATCATCCTCGCTCTCTGCGCAGAGCATGGTTTTGGAGCCATCTCTTTGCACAATGCACATGAGACACTCGCGGGTTCTTCCTTCAGGCGGCTGAATGTCTGGAAGGCAAGAGAAGAAGACAGACAGATACAGAGGGTGAGTTAGACAAGCAGATGGTGGTCTCCATTTTCAACGGTCTGTTTTGATTGCATCATTGCTTTTTGTTATTTTACAACAGCTGGGAGATCTGGTTGGTGTCAGCCAAGATCCTCCAGTGGATATGGATGGAGCCACGACAGCATGGCTCTGCTTCGTCTCCTAACCTGAAACCCTCCCAAAGCCACCTTAAAATCTAGCCAGCTGCACCCAGGGATGTAGTTCTCCAGCAGCGGTGAG